ATAGCAACAGGGGAGAAAAGGAGGCGTTCATCTTTATCTGTCCCTATCCAACAGGAAATCAGGCCAGTGGACAGAATGCAATGAAATCCCTGTTCAGAAGGCATCTCGCAAGATTAAATGGTGAGAAATTCACAAGGTTAATTTGCCCCAAGATAACTAAGTGCTCCTTCCAAACCTGAACCTCAGCATTCAAAGGTGGAAGCCTCTAAAGCTATTGATTATCAGCCAGAACACACATGTCAACAAGGTATTCGTTCAGGGAGCCAATGGTTTCGTTAATACCACCACTAACTAAAATCAACTAACAGGGAGTAAGGAGCTACTGCAGGCCTCTGTCCGATTCTTTTAATCACAAGGAGTTTATTAACCTTGGTCTCACACTGGAGATGCCAAATTAGACTACACAGACAAGTGTGCCTCAAATAGCACTGACGCTCCAGTCATCTAAAGACAGTTGGCTTTTTCTGATAGCTTATTATGAATATATAATACAAGGAATAAAATGGATGGAACATAACCTCTCAGTAGCTAACTCTGCTTTTCAAATTTCTATGGAAAACTGGCCAAAACCAAGAAGCCTACTTTTCTTTACAAATTCTAGATAAAAATTGGGGGAGGGAAGGATTCACTTCTAGGGCTTTATAGGTCTCCTATAAATGGATGAGGGTAAAAACATGAGACATAAATCGCCGCCATACAGCTTTATTTTTATCTAGGTGTCTACATAAATTCTGATATAAGTATCAAAATAATAAAGTCCCCCCATTATATCTAATAAACTGATACATAGAGGCTCAGCGTTAATAAAGTTAAAAGAGTCTAAGTAATGGCTTTTAGTTGAAGAACTTTTGTTTCTAACATATAAAAATATTACTTAAAACACTGAAAGTTTCAAAAATAAAGTGAATGCTTTACAAGTTTTGTGATAAAACTCATTCAAAACTAAGATCAACTTTCCATCTTTCCTCAAAACAAATTCTTAGATTTAAACCAAACTGATTTCATTTATTTGTCAGTGAAAAAGGAACAGTGCTGGTATACTGGTATACATATATTATAACACAGATGGGTCAAATTTTTTAAAATGAGAAAAGTGAATTTTGAAAGAGGAAAAACAACCAGCAAGAGACTGATCAGAAAAGTATGATGGGTTTGATTTTTATATCAAAGAATCAGGCATAGAGAAATATCTTTTAGAAATGTTACAATAAATGTTCCTACTGTATATTTAAAATAAAAATTATTTCTCTCTACTTAGCCACATACATACGACCTACACGTACACATGACTTATACTACCAGGAGGATTTGGGAGTGCTGACCTAGAATTCACATTCACTTTCACAACTCCAAGATTATATGTTAACAAAACTAAATGGTGTCAATTACCTGCTACTTGAACATGAAATATTTAATTTACAAGTTCCTAAAAGAATTGAAAAAGTCCAAAGAAAACATACAATTAGGTTAAAATTTAGTAAAACCCGGGTGAATTACAGAGGTATATTTTCCTGTAAGAGATTAACATTTTAACTTGGTGATAATCAAACCTTAACAGAAGCAAAGCACTAAATGAGGAGAATCAGTATTCTTAAAGTGTGCTGGTTATATCTGCCACTATTGCATCCACTAATGCCAACCAGTAGGGGACATCTTTAATTACCCCAGCATCATTTTGGCAACTGGTTAGAATAATCCAAGGACTTTTCAATATATGATGTATAAAAGAATATTCTCATTGGAAGCACCCAACCATTTATAGCATACTTCAGATTAAGTAGCATGTTTTTAATCTTGATTCATCTCTGTCTTTATAAGGGTAGCTACTAAGGGAGAATGTAAATAAAGTTTTATTACTGAAAATCTTTTTCAAAGTTACTTAAAAGCTTTTTACATTCTTAAAGAAATTAAGGACAAACAGTTATATTCTCCTTGATTTGGATTTTTTATTACTCAAAGTTACTTAGTAACATGCCGGCTCAGAATTCAGCACATTAAAAGGATCATTCCATTACCTTCATTGCTTAGGTGAAAGTCATAGAGTTTTTCAAAATTTTAAAATATGGAAGATGCATTTAGGCAAATGCTATCATATATTTCTGTTCAGACTGATAGTTCTCAGTTGCTGTTTCGGAGATTTGTGCCAATTCAAAACAAAATCAGTATGGACCATCGCCCAATAAATACTGGTGACTAAAAAGTTATCAGCATTTGAAAATTGAACATCCACTTCCCAGAAGTGAATACCTGGGAAGATAGATTCTAACTGTAAAACTATCTGACAGCAAGTAAGTTTAATATTTTTTCTTCTGTGAACCCAGATCAATGGGTGCTTAAGGTATCAATGGAGTCAGTAATGAAACCCGATATAGCGGATAAACAAACTCCTATATCTACACATTACAATATAAGATTTAAACCCTGTGATCAAGATATAATATTTAATTCTAATTTTATCTAAACATAGTTTTAAATTAAAGTCCATTAGTCTAAGCTAAAATATATTTACTTCATCTCGCACAGTATCATTAACAGTTTAATGTGTCTACTGAACTTTACTTCTAAGAGAAAACTTTTTTTAATCTATTGAAGTTGCATTTAAAGTTTTCCATTTCTTTTCAAAAAGTTGAAGACTTCTGATTATATTATTAGTTTAGCAAATTCTTAAAAGATAGGATTTATGTAAAACCAAAAGCCATGGCTAGACTACCTTACTAAAAAGGATAACATACATGAAAAGGAACTGTAAAACACTGAATTTATAACATTTAGGAAACCTGTGCAAATTTTCTAAGATACGTCTTCACTATCTTTTGTGATAAACTGTGTTTATTCCTAAATTATGTGTTTTGCATTTGGCTCCTTTTAGACTACATCCAAGCTGACTTTTTTAATGCATCAAAAAAGCATCATCTAATTCTACATTTCAGAAATGAATCTGCCTCCCAGTACCTACTTTTCAAACTATATTATTTTTTAAAGTAACTTTTAGTGTAATAACCTAGAAAGATAAATGAATCCATACACTCCTAAGCATACTAAAGTTAGGGCTGAATCTCTTGGGAGGCAGGGGTACATCATTCTTTCTTGTGAACATTATCAAACTGATAATGATCAGACAGAAAGGTATTTCCGCAAAACTCAAATCAGAATACTGACTTGAGAATACTCTTGGTATTTTAAAATTCTACAGATTAACTTTGTCTGGGCAGGTTCAAAGCTGCCATGGCTGGCATTCTGAGCAGAAGAGTTTTCTGCGGGCAAGGCATATCTATGAAAAACATGACCTGTGACAAAAATCAATGTGCTAATCTCAAAACAAATGACAGTATCAAACGCAGAAAACAGAGATAGCCTAAGATAAAATGTTCTCAAACTAACTCAGACTAGCTTGACAGGTTAAGAAGGAGGTGTTGCTGATTCTTACTGTTTTAACCCAGGATGACTGGAACACCCAAGTATCCCAATAAAGTAATACCGTGAGGAAAAAGATAGCACTGTGAAATTTGGAGTGGGAAAGTAAAGACAACCAAGAGCAAAATGTCCCAAATTCAACTAGCCAATGTCCCTGTTGTTTTATTTCATAAGGCACTCAAGTTCAGAAATATAAATTCCTCTCTTTCGTATATGCTGTCTAATAAAGCCCAAGGGGGAATAAAACCAACCAATATAATGAGGCTTGCTTTTAACACCATCACAACTGCAAAGCTTGCTCTATTTGTCTTGTCAGCTTTAATAAAAGGCATTTCCTCTAGCAGAATGGCTCCTCTTTCTCTTTTTCTAATAGTGGTAAGTGGCATGTCAAAGAAGAAATAGCTTCCCATCCCCACCACCCACCTCCAGGAGACTTTTTTCTTAACCAAACTTTCAGGACTGTCTCCACTTTTGCCAGGCATTGAAATTAGGACTTGGGTTATCTGGGTGTGACTATCTTTCCTGGGGTAGGTAGCAAGCAGGACATGGAGAGCTCTTTCTCCTTTCGGCAACCAGTGACCGCTTGTGGGGAAATCTGCCCATCTTCACCTGAGCTGACATTACTTAAAGTGGGGAATTCCCCCCAACACACCCTACCCACCCCATACCTGCATAACGTTTGGAGGCGGGAGGACCGCGGAGAGGGCCACCGGGAGGTAGAATGCATTAGAAGCGCCCTCCGAGCCCCTCTCCCCAGGCGCGCTGGGCGCAAAGCAACCAGACTCTCCACTCCGTCTCCCGCCTCTCTCCTCCCAACTTCCCCTGCTGCCCAGAGAAAAACCTGAGATTTTAGGCATAATCGATGCTATTTCCCTACTGGGCAGGCACCGAGACCAGCCCACAGCTGGAAGCTGGCCTCGGTCCTTAGAGAGGCTGAACAATTTGGGACCAGCGGTGCCGATTGCTTGCCCACAGGCCCGGGAGAAAGTAAGGCTTGGAGTTGTTTTGGATTGGGAGGGGTCCTCCCGGCACTCTGGACAACCCCCACCCCAACCCTACTCTCAGGGCTCGTGAACACGGGACGTCTGCGGGTGGCCAGGGTCCAGCAGGAGTGCTAGGGCGGCCGCGGGCGCCCACCTCTAGCCTTCCGCGTACACGGCAGGCTTCGGGGACTGCCGCAAAACGGTTCCAAGTAACCGCGCGTGTTCGTCTGGCTGCACACCGCCAGGCCACGGACGAAGAGCTCCCACCTCCCGGCTAGGCCAAATCCAGCAGCCCGCTCCGCACACATGACGTAACCCGGCATTAGATCAAACTTTCTGGCACCTTGAGCCCACCCAGGGGTGGAGGAGGTGGGAGAATTTTCTCTACTGCCAAGAGCGCCGGGCCCAGACTAACCCACCCGCCGGATGATTTGCTCGCAGTTAAAGAGGAAAATAACAACCTAAAGCTTCCGATTCCCAGCCCCCCCCCCCACTTTCCCCAGCCCGTGCGCTCTCTGAGCGCACCGAGAAAAGAAAAGATTAAAATGAGAAAGAAAAAAAAGGAAAACTTTGGGGATGTTTGGCGGGTTCTCCCTGCAGTACCTGCGCGCCCACGCTGCAGGCGGAGAGCTCCTGGCGGTGTGCATCCGGAGCTCACGGTGCCCAAGCCCTGCGCTGGTATCGGGATGCTGGCCAGCCTGCCCGGGAGGGAAAGCGGGAAAGTCTCGACTCCCCGGCTCCCGCCTTTTCCGAGTCTCCTCGCTCTCCGCAGAGGCAGCCGGTCGAGCAGACCCGGGGGCTCCCAGGGGCGCCCGGCCTCTCCACGGTGTTTTAACAAAGAGGGGCGCGTCGGGAGCGCTTCCCGCGGGCGCCTCGAAAGCCATCACCGCCCGGGCTACGCAGTCTCCGAGGGTGCGCGCTCCTTCGGCAGGGCCCCAAGGCCCGGGTAGCCCCTGCTCTTCGCCTTCTATTGCCTTACCTGGGGTTGCTGCTGTTCCAGTAGACGGCGTAGCGGTCGGCGACGGCCTTGGAGCCCGGGTCCTGGCTGAATACACACATCCAGAGCACCAGAAACATCAGCGTCAACATCTCCACGTGCAACATCACGCCTGGCCAGCGGCGGAGCCCGGGACGCGCCACTCCGGGGAGAGAGCAGGGATCCGGAGGGAGGGAGGCGTACAACGAGAGCGAGAGAGCGGGAGCCAAATAAATATGAATAAATAAAAACGAAGAGGGGCGACAGAAGAAAGAGGCACACACCAAGCTGGGGAGGGGGAGGAGGGAGAGAAGAATAGAAGGCAGTGGCGTGGAGGGGCTACAGACAAACTCACACCCCCCCCCCACTGGAGGGTTCAGAAGGAAAAAAGAAATCACAAGATGGAGAGAAGCGTGCGTGTGTGGTGGCGGCAACCAAGGCGGGGGAAGGGGTGCCAAGCTGTGTCTCGGGCGGCGGCGGCGGCGGCAGGCGGGTCACCCGGGGAGAAGTAGGTGTGCGCCGGGGCGGGCGGCAGCAGCGCGAGTCGGGGCAGGCGGCGGCGCACGCTGCACAGTCACCGGGTGTTGCGCGCCGCGGCCGCGGGGAGACATACACTGGCCCGCCGGGCCCCGCTCAGCGTCGGCGCCGCGAGCTGCGCACGGCTCCGCCGCCGCCCAGCGCCCTCGCAGTGCGCCCCGCTTCGCTCCAAGTTACTTTGGCGGCCGGTGGGAAACTGCGGGAGGATGGCTCCGTGTGGACGGGGGGCTTCGCGCCTGTGGCCCCAGGAGTCTGAAAAGCCTCTTCCACCGCCTCTTCTGTGCCTTCGCTGGGCAACCCCTGGAAATCTCGGAGCGAGTCGTACGTGCTGCGGAGTCGGGGCGCTGAACCGAGAAGGGTGGGGATCTGGAGCCACAAACCCAACCCCGCCGGCGTTCTGGGACTGGTTAAGCGGCGACTAAGCTGGCGAGGAGCGGTCTTGCCTCACCAACCTCAAAGAAAAGTTTGGCTCTTCGCGTCTTCCGGCAGGTTCCCCGGCGGAGTCGGACTGCGGCGGCGGCAGCGGCGGGAGACAACACCGCAGGCGCTGGCGGAGCCTCGGGGATTTCTCGAGCGTGCTTTTCTACGCGGAGGGTGTGGGTGCACCAGAGTGAATGAAGAGCAGAGGTTACGAACCAGACAGCCAGGTGGAGCTGGGATGCCCAAACCTGCAGGACGACGCCAACCCAACAGCTCCGCTGGAGAGCGGGAGGGGAAACAATCACTTTCAAATGAATCCGTCCAACTCCTGATGGGCTGATGTCAGTCTCCGATCGCCTTCCAGGAGCAAGACTGCGCCCCCAGAAGCAGTGCCAAGAGCCCCGGGTGAGCTCTCAGAAGTGTCCCTGCGACTCCAACGGGTCCGGCCCCAAGCCCAGCAACTTGTAGAGACGCATCAATCAGTTTGAAATGGAGAGAGAAAAAAGAGAGAGAGAGAGAGAGAGCGCACGAGAGAGTGGCACCTCCCAGATGACTACATCAGAAAACCTTGCCGATCGGGCTCCCGCAGCTGCTTCCCTTTCCCTCCTTGGGCACAGCAGCAACAAGAGGTGAAAATCAACCGAATCCTAAAACCCCTACCAGGAGGGAAAATAAACTTGAGTGCAGCAGCAGCAGCAGCACGAGCAGCCCGGGGAGGGATTGAAACGACTGGCGAGAAGTGGAAAAGGGTAAAAGTCAGTTTTGCAAAAGAGGAAAAAAAAAAAAAAAAAGAGAGACAGAAAAAATGCTTTATGGGAAAAATCTCCTCGGGCACGCCCCCTCGCTAATGACCTGCGTGTAAAGCCGACAGCAGCGGCAACCCAGCAGCTGCAGCCGCGCGAGAGCGCGAGGCTGCGCGCGTGAACGTGGGCGGCACGGCGGGTGTAGGGGCGTGTAACGCAGGGCGCGGGGCTGGCAGGCAACTCGAGTGCCGGGTGTGAGCTCTGGACGGAGCAGGGGGAGGCGCCGCCAGCCCGAGCCCAGCACTGCCGCCGCCTCAGCCCGGGTCATGTGGGCTGCTCCCGGCCCCCACCACCACCCCCGCCGGTGCAGTTTACTTGGGAAGAGGGTGTGGGGGGGTGCCAGGAGCAGCCAGTCAGGGAACGGCCTGCTGTTTGCTTACGGATCGGGATTTTTTTCCTCTCTCTTTACTGCAACCGGATTGGTTTGCTCCACGAGAAAGAGGCGTTTTCCTAATCTCCTCCCTTCCTCACGCCTCCTACCCCCTCCTCGGCACCACCTTCCAGAAACCTGACTAATTGAATTACTGGGAGTGCCGAGGCGCCCTCTCCTCCTCCGGAACCCAGCAGTCGCGCGTAACCCTTTGGATGCTGAATTCCGTCTGGACTGAGGAATGATTTGACATCTTTTTACCTAAGGATGGGTTCTTTCAATTACAAAGAGACCGGTTCCCACCCTGTGGCGGGAGAGCCGAATTCTGTTTCCTGGGCCCCTCAGGTGACATGAAGAAGTCCCAGCAGACGGGCTGGCAGAAAGCCTCAGTAAATTCCTGCCCTGTTCACAACGCCCATAGCCCGGCGCTGGGTTATCTGGAAACCTGAGCAGCTCTCCTGTGGCTTTCAACTGTTCTTACTACCAGGGATTTCAAGGTTCATGAACAGGAAACAAGATTTTCCTTTAAAGTGATGCTCTGAAAACACTTTTTTTTTTTAAATCGGGAAAAAAAATCACACTATAGAGTGATTACCATTCAGCGTGAACCTTCAGCAGGGAGGGAATGAATGCGGCCCGGGAGCCCGTCAGAAATACATTACACCTTTTCCATTTCCACCCCGAGGCTGGTTCGCTACCCGCTCCCCAAAGGATAAATGCTTTGAACGAAGTTGGTATGGGAAGAATCCTAGGCCAGGGAAGCCGGAGAATGAGCGCCCTTATTATTTGAAAAGGCCTCGCGTTCCCGGACTTATAGAGCAGGTTGCAGCACTTTGCCCCCCCACCCCCAGCCCACCCAGCCGCAACCGAGGCACGATTGCCTGACAACGAGGTGGTCACGGTTCCCGGGACGCGTCCCCCTGCTTTCCAGTGCCCGGGAAGCTAGCCAGGTGCCTGGCGCAGCGGGGCCACAAACCCTGGAGACTCGCGCTCGCAGGGCTCCGCGGGCTCGGGCCTGCGTGTTATTATTCTCTTTTGCTCGCTAGGGAGTTTGCTGCCTCAGTGGGAAAGGGCTGATCTCAAGAAAGAAAGCAGTTTAGTTTTACTTCCAAACTTGCCTGTCCTCCCCTTTACTTATTAGCCCAATAAAATCAAGTATCACGTTCTCCATCCTGCGCTTTCCAATCCTGGAGTTTGGGAAGGCGCGTCGGAACTGTTTGGAAGCGTCCAGACGCCCTCCAGTGGTGGGCCTGTAGTCCGCAGCCAGCGGAGATGTTGCCTGCAGCTCTGCCCAGCGGGATGGAATTTGATGGAGAATCTGGGGTCATGATCAATAAAGACTTGAGGGGAAAGGAGCAGTTCACACGAGCGTGGAATTACCTAGATGTTATGGGCCCTTGTCTAAAAGTTGAGTAGTTTCTCAATAACGGAAATTTTTTCCCGTTTGAAGAGATCCTGAAATTGTCCTAAGATAGAAACTCTTACGTTTGTGACTGGGTATAGATAAACTGCTATCTGTGTAATTATAGGCTCCACTACAGACCACGCTAACAAACCAACCACCTTCCTAAAAAAAAAAAAAAAAAAAAAAAAAAAAAAAAAGTAAACAGCATATTAGCACAAATGCTTCTTTACCATCAGTATAGTTAACACAATTCCAACAGTGACAAAGAAGTGGGGAAACAAACTAGAGAACTAAAGAATAAACTTATTTTCAAATCAAATTTTCATTTAAAAATTTATTTACTTTTCCTTCCTGGCCTGTAATCTTGCTGATGTTCAAGTTCTTAGCCTATTTTAGGGTGTGTTTGTTTTTTTCTGTTGCAGGAAGAATGCATTTATTTCTTCCCTCAGCCTTTTTGATAGTAGCTCAAATAGGTGCTCATATGACTGAGGCTGTTTTGCAGGAAATATTCTGGACCCTTTTAAAGGACGTCTGTATTTTTCAGAAGAAGAGAATTCACGACTTCTGTCTTGGGGAAAATGCTGAGCATCATCAGAGAGTCTTTTTAGTCAGGGAAATATCAGGTATCAGGGAGTTAGCAAACTGGCTTCCTGTGGCTTCAAAGCCAAAAGGAGTAAAGAAAAAGAAATTACATCCACTTATTTCCTATCTGAAAACACATTCTGTACCAAAATTGATATGTGAAAATTCAACATATCAAAAGAATATAGATATCCTAATATTTTAAATATCTCTAATTTATTTAAAGCCTGGAGAGTCCCATTTTAAACAAACAAACAAAAAATTAAACATTATGGCCTTAACATGATTTAAGGAGTTGGAATAATAGATATTGGAATTAGCAACTGCTGAGAACATAACTCAATGTCTGTGTGAAATAATTCATAAGCCTAAATCAAGTGCCTTCTTCTGGGGTTGATTATATACCTATAACTACTGCTATTGGAGTAACTAAGCAGTAAGATGATAGATACATACATACTTAGGATTTGAAGAGAAATTACTAACGGTGCATTTATTGCTAGGAATGTGACTTTGATTCTTCAGGAAACTATTCAAGTGATTTGAATATATACAAATCAGCATTATGTAAAATAATTATATTATGATTAGTCCACTGTCCCAGAGGCAATGACCTTTAAGCTGGCCTTGAAAGGATAAGTTGCATTTTGCCAAGTATAGAAGGAGGCTCAGATATGACAGGAAGAAAACAGCAAGCAGCTAAAAATTTATTGAAAGACTAAAAGTGCAGGGAGTGTTTAAATACTTTGAGTTTCACAGGACTGAAACAGGGTTGTAGGGAGCTGAGACCTGAAAAGTCAGTTGAGAATGGACTATAAAAGGGGTTAACTGCATTCTAAAAGCGTTTGGATTTAAAACGACAGGCAACCTAGTGCGCTGGTGGTTTTAAAACAAATAACATTGAAGCAATAATCACTATGCTTCAGATTAAAACACAAATAGGGATTTTATTTATTTATTTATTTATTTATGTATTTATTGTTTTTGGTCCTCAATCTAGATCGATGTTCCAACCTTGGCTATGAATTAGAATCACCAAGGGAGCTTTTTAGAAAAGAACAATACCAGAGCCCCACTCCCTTTAGTTGGTTAGGGGGGTGGAACCTGGGATCTGTAATTTTTAAAAGCTTCCCAGGGAATTCTAATGAGCACAGAGGATTGAGAATCACTGATCCAGGTAATTTATTTTTACCTTAACTACTTCAATATTTCAGGCAAAAAAAAAAGTAAGTTTTGTACTTATTTGTCTGGAGAAATGTTCCAGCTAACCATCAAAGCAGGAATGTTGATACTTTAGAGATCTGAATTTTATGATCCTCTCTATTAAAATGAAGGGATACTTTAAACATAATTCTCACATAGCACAGAATAGAATACCGTCTCCAAGAGGTGGTTGCAGGGTCAAAGCTTACTTTTAAATATTGGTCCATCTTCCTTTTTGGACTAGTTTGGACTTCCTGTTGGCATTAGCTGCCACCAGATAAAAGTGGAGTTCTATTGGGTCAAGTGTCCAGATAAATAAATAAGCTGGTAAGTCAAGCCCCACAGTCCACAGACTAAGTAACTCTTGTTTGATATGGCAGTTAAGTGGAAACTGATACCCAGAAGAGATAATAAAGGAAATAAACTCAAAAGCAAAGATTAAAGAAATAATAATTGACACAAAACCATGTAACAGACGACTAACTTAATGGTATTCAAGCTAACCCTGCTGTCTATCTTTCTAGAACATTGATAATTCATTCTGAAACCCCAAGAAACCCAGGTTCAATCACCAGTTCCCCCAGCTATCCTGCCCACAGGCTGTTTGAAGTTATTATATTTAATGAAGGCTTCTCCCCTATTCACCCCTTTTATAAGAAGTTTCTCAGAATCTTTAGAAATAAATCTTTGCTAGGTTTTCTCTCCTTAGGAAATGCTCCTTTTCTACTTCTTATCTAGCTGTCTCTTCTGTGTATAACCTAAAAGAGAGAAAAAGAAAACAACAAACACCTTCTACTAAATAGGGTTAAGTCCACGTCTCTACCGTCTTGTGATCTTCAACTTCCATCATGAATTTTCCACATTTCCTCATTCTCCTGTTACTTTCCTGATGCTTCCTGGAGTTTGTTTCACAGCTTCTCTTCTCCTGAACTCTGCGGATAAGTAGAAGGAGTTTTATAAGTTGTTGCAATATTCCGAAAGAGGCATTTAAAATTTTTTTGAACTACCCATCTATTTGTTGTTTTGCCCATTTCAAAACACAGTTTAAATAAGACCTGCACAGTCAGCTTTTTAAACATACAGAAGTTTGGGCTGTCATTTTGATAAACAACAAATCCATATAACTAGGTACATAGGTAAGTATGTGTTATGTTTCTGTGTATTACAAATGTGTATGTGCTTCAATGTAATTTTAAAGGAAGCAAACAAGAACTGTTTTTTCAACCAAATTTCACATCACTTTTCATATCAAGACTTTGGTCTATATACTGTAGAGTTATAGGATCAGTTTTCAACCATAAAGCTGAAATTGACAGATGATTATCTTTTACTATTTTAATATGTTTACTTTTTACTGTATTCCCCTCTTCACAGTTTTTAAATATAAATAATCAAAGAAAATTTATTTGCATATTACAAATCTAATCGATCGAGTAGTACACTGTATACTGTCAGTAAAGTATACTGTCCTAACATGTTCTTTGTAAATTATTAAACACTACATTCCTTACTTACAAGAATATACATTACCATGAATGCACATTAGCAAAAAATTAAAATTTTGTATTTATGTTTTATTACAATGGCAACCATAGACATCTAGAGCATAACTTTATTGAAATAAAAAGAATATAAGTAGCCTTTTCAGAAATAAAGTTAATTTGTACTTTTTTCATATTCAAACTAATAATTAGGATTTTTTTCCCCTCCAGCTTCATTTACCACCACCCAAAAAAGCACATAAATATGCATTTTTGTATTTCTTTGGTTGCTTAGAGATGGAAAAAAAAAAGCTAAAACACCTTTTATTTCATTGATGACACATATATACATGTAAAGCATATATATGAGCATATAGAGAGACAGACAAAAACAGAGAATTTATTTTTCAATCAACTGCACCCAAGATATTCATCAATTTCTGGAAGAATTCTATTTATTCATTTATTTATGCATTTATTTATTTATTTTAGAATTCTATTTAAAAATGAGTAGAGGATATAATACTTAGAGAGCATGATTTCATGAAATAGGAAATGCTATTTCTAAGCCTCGTTTTAGCTTTGGCTTTACTTTTGTCCTCAAGATCTAAACTGACTAAGCAAAGTGTAGAATTATGGTGAACTAAGAAATTCTTTCCTCAAATTATGTGCATTTCTTTTCAGATAAATGCCTGCTTTAGGGGAATTTGGATCCCTGTATTTTGGAGTGCAGATTTTTTTTTTTCTTTCAGTCATCTAAATCTTTCTCTCTCTCTCTCTCCCTTTCATTTCATTTGGCCACAGTAGAGATGGTCTTTTAAAATATACTATTAATTTTTTAAGAAAATTGTCCTCTTATTGCAGATTTATAACTCGAGTCTGAAACTTCCAAATACCTTATGCCAATATTATAAATTGTATTATGATGCTATAAAGTTACAGTTAAGGTATAATTTTTAAAAAGCATTTCATCTTGTAGTTGGAGATAATAGTTATAAAGCTGGTCTCTATAGAATCCACTGTAACTTGTGATCTTAGGACTTCAGACTTCAGACAATAATGCATAGGATTATTGGCCCAAACTTTTTTAAAATGAGAAATATTTTACTGAATTGTGTCTTTCTAAACTTGAGAGGAGGATGTATGCTCTTAAAATTACTACCTTTTAATCAGATTATCACTCCCCATTTCCTTTTTTTTGGCATATGATGTATACTAAATTGAATAGGATTTATTGGTTCAGCTAGATTCTGAATTGCCCTCTTT